TGACTCACATGGTAAAGAATCTACCTGCAATGCAGAAGACCTGGATTCAATCCCTGGGAGAAAGAAATTGCAACCCATTCCAGCGTTCTTGCCTAGGAAATCCCACAGACCAGAGGAGCCTGGCAGGCTACAGTCCATGGGGTCGCAATGAGCCAGACATGACTGAGTGACTAACACTTTCTTTTTCTTTCTAGATGTGAACTGCACTGCCTGAAAGACACACTGGTATTTGCTAAGTACTTACAGGACAGAGCAGAATTTAGTATTATTTGTACATTATTTTGGTGGGAGTGGGACGAAAGGAAAGAAAACAGAGTGAGTGATATACCACCCTGGAAACTCTGCCCGGTGACCAGAGGTCTTAGGAACATGCACCCCGGTGCTGGCCTGACACAGGCACTTTAAGCAAACATCAGGGTCAGACCACATCCATTAAAAAGAATTCCTTTATATAAAGGATCAAACCAAAACACACCACCCAAATTTCTAGGCTGCCCTGATTGTCATTCCTGGGTTGGGAGACCCCTTCTTCTCCAAGTTGGCTGCACTGCCCAGGGCCAGAAAAGCTTTCGGAAAAACAAGTCAATAAACCTGCCAGCTCCTGGCAGACAACTGGAATTAAATATGCTGAGGCCTCATTGTGAACTGCCCAGGGTATGAGAAGGAACCTCAACTTTGGGATGAAGCCGAGGATGGGCCCACCCTACAAGGAATCACAAACATAAACAAACAACCAGCGAATTCTAGGCAGAAAAGCCACACTGCTCTCAGCATCTGACCACCTATGTCACACAACTGGCGCCTATAGCCAACTCTAATGATTCCCACAACGTATGTTGTTGGGAGCTATCCAAAGTATACAAAACCCTGCATAGATACTTTCCCAGATTACAGGAGTGAAATTTCTCCCATTGGTAGTAGGAATCTCCAACAAATGAACAGCAACAAAACCATTGAAGACAGGGCAGCTATTCCCTCAACAAATTCACCTCAAAACAAGATATAAGTTGCAAACTCGGGCTTTCCCACTGCTGCTAGTGGTAAATGAAATGCCTGCCAATGCAAGAGATGTAAGAGATGAGGGTTTGATCCCTGGATTGGGAAGACTCCCCTAGAGAAGGCAATGGCAACCCACTCCAATATCTTTGCCTGAAAACTTCCATGGACAGAGGAGCCTGGCGGGCTACAGACAATGGGGGTGCTCAGTCAGACACACAGCACAGAACAAAGGAATGAGAAGGGAAGGAAAGAGAAAAGCAAAAACCCAAAACAAACAAACAAGCAAAGATGCAAACTGATTCTGCGCACTTCCTGACATGACACTCATCTCATGGACCCTCTTCACAGTTCAGAGGATTAATCTCATCCCTCACCTAAGGCCTCACTTTGTTCAAGGTCAGAGGCTCAATGTAGGGATGTCCAACCAAAACCCCTACACCCCAGATTTACAAAACTTTGTGTTCACATGAGCTCTCTGGTGGGACAATGGGGCTGTATTTTACTTGTTTCTGACCCTGAAAAATAGGTCAGTTAAGCCTCAAGTTCAACAATTTGGCAGACCTAGGTTCCAGCCAACATTCACCAGCTGGGTGATCTGCACAAGAAGTTGCTTCACTCCCGTTTCCCCAGCTTTAAATAGAGGTAATGATACTAACCGGCTTCCCAGGTGGTGCTAGTGGTAAAGAAAAGTGAAAAATGACGTCGCTCAGCTGTGTTTGACTCTTTGTGACCCCATGGACTGTAGCCTACCAGGCTCCTCCCTCCATGGAATTTTCCAGGCAAGAGTACTGGAGAGGGTTGCCATTTGAACCCACCTGCCAATGCAGGAGACATAAGAGACACAGGTTCAATCCCTGGGTCAGGAAGATCCCCTGGAGGACGGTATGGCAACCCACTCCAGTATTCTTGCCTGGAGAATCCCATGGACAGAGGAGCCTGGCGGCAGTACAGTCCATAGCGTCACAGTAGCAGCCTAGAGTCCATAGGGTCACAAAGAGTCGGACTCGACTGACACGACTGAGGACAATGATATTAACCACCATCCCCAGTAATAACAACCATTTCCTAAGCACTTGGCCTGGACTGGGAAGTGGAGGGGAGATCATTACATAGACAAGGAAACGAGATCTCAAGGATTCAAGGTGGTGATCAGCGGGGTCATCAACAGAACACACTCAACACCGAGCCTGTGTCCCAAGTTGGAGCTCGTCTGTCATCGTCAGCACAACGCAAAACAGCATAAGCAGGGAAAGCTTGAACTGAAGTCCTCGCAGGATGTGAATTTTTTTCCGAAGGGCCTTTACCCTGCACAGTCCCAGGAGCAGAGGGAAGAGGCCTCAGGCATTACCGCCTCAGGGAGTCCCAGCCCTTGGCAACTCTGCCTCCAGGCTCCAGAGGCTGGAAAACCTGTTTGCTGTAAGATCTTTCCGGAGACCAACTAGGCAGCCAATGACAGGAGTCATAAATGTGACCACAGCCTTTGACCCAGGAATCCCACTCTGGGGAATATGATCCAAGAAATTATTTAAAAGGAGAAAATAACACAATGTAAACTGTGGTGGGAAGAGGTCCATAGGAAGAAACTGCCAAAGTCCACAGGCCACAACCAGGGAAGGGAAAGCTAACCCTGGAATGTCAGGACGGTAGGAGTCGCTATGGTCTGGCTGGGTTCAGGAATGAAAATCATGAGGGTTTAAGGAGAAAAATGTACGGGGCCAGACAAAGTCTAGAATAAGACCCTCAATTTGGGGGCACTGATGGAAGACCATGCTGGAGGCAGCTTCAGCCTCTGTAAACAGTTGGCAAACTCGGCAGTCCAAGATTTTCTAGTACTGTGGTTTGGTTGGTTGGTGTTGTTTTTTTTTTTTTTTAAGAGATTTCATGTCCTGTTCGGACACTTCTGGTTTACTTTAAGTTTCTTTGTTCAGTTAATTAAGTAAATACACATTTCCAAAGCAAAGAAAAAGGGATCCATGTTGAGCCCAGCCGGCCTTGGAGATTCCTCAGAGGGGTCTGAGGAATCTGAAAAGGAAATAATTCCCAGAGAGACTGAGGTTCTCCTTTTCTCCTTACAGGAGATGGGCGCCCCAAAGGCGACAGCATGTCACACGGCTTCGGCAGGGCCGCCACCCTCGATGGGGAAGCCGATGGGCGGCGGCCCAGGAAGCAGCCCTACCTGCCTGGACAGGTGTGGGGAGGGCGGCGGAGAGGACAGGAGACTCGGCCTCGGAAGCCAGTTTTAGGCAGGAGAACGTCCCAGCAGCCTCACCGGGGGCCCTTTTTTCCTGTCGGGGGTCACTCCAAGGCCTGCTTTCCTCAGGAAGAGACCTGAGGCAGCTACTCACGGGCAAGAGCTTCACCTGGCAGAACACACACACACACACACACACACATGTAGGTGCACACACATTCTCTGCACCCTGACCTGCTCTCCACACGCATGCTCCGTGTACATACACCCTCTGCACACCGACACACTCGCGCGGGCACACACATACACACCCCTTGCCCCGATCCTTACAGTCCACACCCTTCGGCCGCCGTGTGACCCTTCCAGAAGCCCTCAACCAGCCGAGGTCACAGCGGGGACCTCACCCCCACTCTGCCTCCCCCGTGGCGGGGTGGGGGGGGGGAGGTGGCGGAGAGGAACCCTGCCCCCTCTCAGGAAGACCCTGGTGTGGGGAGGGCGGGGAGAGGAAGGCCAAGTCTCCTTTAATTGTCACCCACTTCCTTCAATTCTCAGCTGGACCCTCGCTAGCCTGAGCGAGCCCATTAACCCTCTGCCCCCCACCTCGTCTGCAACAGGGGCCTAACGGTGCCCCAGCTCGCAGGCTGCGCGAGGAGGGAGGTGACTGGGAAGGCGGCTGGCACCCAGCGCGCACTAGCTGGGGCTCCCACCAGGCAGTGGCTACCGTGACCGCCACCCATCGCCGAATGACACCTTCGGCGGCGGCCTCGCGGCCAGAGCTGAGCTGGGAGCGAGGCAGACACACCCCCGCGTCTCCCCTTCCCACCTCGGGGCCCACACCCCTTCCGGCGACCGCCAGGTCCCCATCTCCACCTGGGCGGGAGGCCCCGGATTCAGAGAACAGTCCCTCTCGGGGCCTCTCCACCTGGCCTCCCAGCCAACGCCCATTCGGCGGCCGCGGGGCGCAGCGGGGCGAGCGCTCCGGGGAGCGCCGGACGAGGGCTCCACCCCCCAGGGACCGCGGACCTGAGGCTTCCACTCCCCCGGCTCCCGCAGCGACACCCCAGCTGCAGAGAAACGCCACAGCCCCGACTCTCCCCGTGCGGCCTCAACCCGAACCTTCAACCCACCGCCCCCAACAGGCGCACAGCACCGGCGCACGGCAGGGAGCGAGCACACGAGGAGAGCGCCCCGGAGAATGGACCTCCCGAGGGGGCCTAGGTCCCCTTTGTCCTCGCGCCCTCGGGGGACAATGTCCCCCGGTGCCGGAGCCCACACGGAGCCCGCGGCTGCTCGGCGCGGTGGTGGTGGTGGGGCACCCGACGGGGAGCTTCAGCCTCCACAGGGGCGCAAGCGCGGTGGAGGCTGGAGGGCGAGGGGTACCGGCCGGGCCGGGGCACTCACCGATGGACACAAGCTTGATGCTCTCGCGGTCCAAGAACTCGAGCGCCACGGACACGTTCTCCAGCTGCATCTGGCGGAAGGTGGGCCGCTGGTGGTACTTGCGGTACATGTGCTTCTGGCTGAGCACCTCCAGGAGCGCGATGAGCCGCAGCCCGTCGCTCAGGTCGGTCTGCAGGTTCCCTATGCGCTTGTTCACGCACTTAAGGTGCTCGTTGCACCAACGCGTGAAGGTGTTCTGCTGGATCTTCTTCCAGGGCGCGTCCTCCGCCAGGTCCTTCTCGGTTACCGGCATTCTGGCGGCGGGGAGAGCGCTATGCGCAGCAAGCTGCCGGAGACTGGCGTAGGGAGGCCCAAGGGCCGCGGGGAGCGAAAAACCAAAGCGGAGCGGGAGCGGGGCTCGAACTCGCTGCTACCGAAGCCGCAGCTGGGGCTGCTCTGCGCCCGCCTGCCCGTGGCCGCGCGAGGCGTCTGGCCCCGCGCCTGCGCACTGAGCCGGCCCGCCCCTGAAGCTCCGCCCCGTCCCAACCCTCAGGAGGGCGCTCCCGGGCCACGCCCGCCCCCTGCCGCTCGAAGCGGGCATTGCGGCCCGCGAACTCCCAAGTCCTCTGGGGTCCCCGCGCTCTGTGCTCAGACAGCCTCGGTGAAAGGAAGCTAGGCGGGAGATGTCCGGCTTCTCAAGAAAGTCACCCGTTTCCAGAGTGAGGGGACGTGTAGAGGTAGGAACCTGGACAGAATGGGTAGGGACGGTGGCATGGGTCACGCGGGAGGGGTTGGCGGGGAAGGGTATTTCATCCACCTGAGGTTCAATAAGCTTCCGTAAGACCTTTCATTGAGCTATTGCTGTGTGCTAGACTCTGTGTTAAGGACTTCCCTGTAGCTCAAACGGTAAAGAATCTGCCTGCCAGGCAAGAGGCCAGGGTTCGATCCCTGGGTTGGGAAGTCCCTCTGGAGAAGGGAATGGCAATCCACTCCAGTATTCTTGCCGGGAGAATTCCATGGACAGAGAAGCCTGGCGGGTTACGTGCACAGAGTCGGACACGACTGAGCGACTAACACAGTCCACAGGCACTGGGAGTGTCGTGAAGGAAATGGACATTAAAAAAAATAAATTTATTTGGCCGCCTCGGGTCTCAGTGCATCATGCGGGATCTTTCGTTGGCGCACTCAGGCTCCAGAGCACAGGCTCAGTAGTTGGGGCGTGCTGGCTTTATTTAGTTGCCAGCTAGAATGTGGGATCTTAGGTCCCGAACCAGGGATGGAAATTTGTTGCCTGCACTGGAAGGCGAATTCTTATCCACCGTGACCAGGGAAGTCCCTGAAATGGACATTTTCCTTCTCGTATTAACTGAACACATATGAATTATAGTATTATTGTTAGTAGTATTTATTGACTGCCTACTAACTGAAGGCCTTTCAGCCTTCTTGGCACCTGCCAACAAATGGTAAATAAGACAAACTTATAATTTAACCTTGAGGAGTTCATAGACTAATAGGAGAAAAAAGTATAAATCAACTATCACAAACACCCTAATGGTGGTGATAGAAATGAACCATAATTTGTCATGTATATTAGTTCCTTAACGTTGCTATAACAAATTACAAAACTTTGCCTTTAAAAACACACACACACTCACATTGTTATCTTGCTTTTCTGTAGTTTAGAGTCCCTCGGAGGGCTCACTGAGCTAAAATCAACATATTGGCAGGATCCATTCCTTTCTGGAGACTTTAGGGAAGAACTCATTTCTTTGCCTTTTCCAGCTTCTAGAAGCTTCCCAAATTCCTTGGCGGAGGCTGCTTTCTCTGTCTTCAAAGCCAGCAACATCATGCAGAGTCTTTCTCATGCTGTCTTCTCTCTGGTTCTCCATAGTCACATCTAATTCTTTTAAGGACCCAGTTGGGAAGAGAGGTTGGGCAGGACGGATAGACGTCAAGGGCTTCCAACTCTGGGAGGAGCCCGCAGATGTGTGGTTGTGGCGTTATGTAACAGGTCATTTGTGTACAAGGGGAAGCACTTTCTTCAGATAGATTGCCTCACTCACTGGAAATGCTCAAAAGAGCCTTGAGGAAGAGAAAGTATTACCTGGCCCTGGCCCTGGCTCAGGCCCATCGTTAGGATCAGTAACTATTGGAAGAATCATTCCTCTTCTTTGTGATTAAGTGAAGAAATTTGCTGGAGGTCAGCTGATAAGGACTGGACAAAGCTGGACTTGAACCTGGGTCTAACACCAAAGTCTGTACTATGCCTCAAAGCCATGCTGTTCCCAGCCTGGACCTTGTCTTTATCTACACAACCTGAGCAGCAGATTCTCTCAAGGCACTGTGGGTAACCTTGCCTACCCCATGTGCAAGGCTTCTAGTTCCTCAAGCTTTCTTCCACCCAAAGGCATCCATCAAAACTTATCAGCCAGTGTCTCACTCCCAAGGGGACCTCCTCCCTGCTAGGTGAGACCGGAGCTAATGTGATCAACTCACTTCACTCAGCAGCTGATAATGTTCTAAGGTTCTGCTTTCTCAGGAGATATGTCTGTTTTCACCAGGTCTTGACACAGATAACTAAGTTCTGCATATAGATATCTAGTCCACCTCACTCTGAGCTGAGATACCCCTGTTTTAGGATGAGTCTGGTGATTCTCCACATCCCATCAGGAGGCACCCAGGGGAGCAGTTTATGCGGAGTGAAGGGGACTCCGTAGCCATGGTGGAGGAGGGTGATCAGTGGCTTTGGTGACAAGCAGAGGAAGCATACAAGGTCTTCAAAGGGCTCTTCATCAATATTTGATAAAAGAAGAGGGCAGGCATTTCTGCACGGAGCCTTTTCACCAATGCATTCCAGTTTTGTCGACAAGGCTTTCATTTAACAAAAAATGGTAGAAATAATAAGAATAGTAGTAATAGTAATCATAATGGAAGCTTCTGCTTCTTAAGTGCTGATATTCTCATTTAATTATCTCAGCAACTCCAGAAGATGTTGTTATTATCCCCGTTTTACAGGTAAGGAAACTGAGGTTGAGAGGAGTAGTCAGATACTTAAGGTCACAGAGTGACAGAAACTAGATTCTAAGGAAGGGCTAAGAAAGATAATACAGTAGTCATGATTAAGAGCAGGGACCTGCAGCAATGCTGATTTTATTACTTTACTGTAACCTACATTAACAGAGTCCCTTCTAGGAATTTCTGACAAATGAGAAACTACGTGTATAACACTCAGCGTGTACATGTCAGCTGAGAGGGCCGATACTGCTGTTATTGTCACAGACATCAAACAGTGAAGTCTGAAAGTTCCGGGTTTAGAAGCCCACTTTCCAAAGGGAACAGAGACGAAGAACCAGGACTTACAAAGTGAATTTCTGTTCTCACCAAATGCACCTTTCCCCCTAGGGTGGGGGCCTTCTCAGTTGTAATTTTACACCAGTGTTCACACCCTGCCAGAAAGAAAGAGAAGCAAAATATAACCGAGAATATTTGCTCTGTCTCTACCCGCTAGAGGAAGAGGAGCTGGTTCTCTCAGGAGCTCCCTGAGAAGTGGGAGGGTTCACCCTCCTCTGCCAGCCCCAACTGCAGAGGTCCTGGGACCACGTGGGTGGGGTGCTAAGAGGAAGCCTACTCTGGGGGGGAGGGTGGCGGAGGGGTGTTGGGAGAGCTGGCCTTCCTCCAAAGGGGTGGCAAAAGGCAGAGGTGTTTTGCAGGCCCAGGGGCCCCAGCAGGCAGCCCTGCCCTGAGATTTTGAGATTAGGTGGGGGCTGCTAGGAGGCAGGTTGCTGCGAAAAGGCACCCCGACTCTCTCACTCACCCACTGGCTAAGATAGAGCTCAGAATGGGCAGAGCAGTGTTCATGAAAGCCATTCTTTACTGGAGCCACTCAACGGGCTACCTGATTGTGATTTTATCTCTGATCCTCCAGCTGTAGTAATTGGCCACTTCCTAGTGCCAGGTACTGAGCTAAGCATCATGTCTGGGAGGGTTTTTTTGTTTTTTGTTTTTTGTTTTTAATACCATTCTTATCACTACTAGTCCTTTTGGGGGGGGGGGTGCTGTGTTCAGTCTTTGTTGCTGCACGGGCTTTCCTCTAGTTGCAGAAAGCTAGGGGTTACTCTCTTGTTGCAGTGCGTGAACCTCTCTTGGCAGTAGCTTCTCAGTGTGGTGGTTTCTCTTGTTGCAGAGCACAGGCTCAGTGGTTGGAGCTCCCAGGCTCTGGAGCACAGGCTCAATAGTTGTGGCTGATGGGCATAGCGGCTCCTCGGCATGTGGGATCTTCCCGGATTGGGGATCAAACCTGTGTCCCTTGCTTTGGCAGGCCAATTCTTCACCACTGAACCACCAGGGAAGCCCTGGGGGTTAATTTTTTAATCTTCTCAAGAACACTCTGAGTTTGATGCTATTATTATCAGCCCCATTTTACAAGTAGGGAAACTGAGGCTGAAAAGAAGAAGAAAAAGAAGTCAGGTCACTTGCTCAGAGTCCCTTGGGAATCAGGTGTCAGAATCTGGATGCAGACCCGGGACTAACCAACTCCAGAGGCCAGTTCTGAGTCTCTAAGCGCCACTGCCAGGGGCACAGTTTGCTCAGCGATGGCAAAGCACTGAAGACAGTGGCCGCTATCCACGGGACACCTGTGTGGGATTCATTTGGCAGGAGCAGGAGTCAGGGTCTGCTGAGGGCCTTGGATTTCCCAGGCAAGGTGACACTCACTGCCCCAGACCCCACTGCAGTCTCGTTGGAATCACCAAAAAAAAAAAAAAGTTTGCCGATGACTGGGCCCTCTTCCTCAATCCCATCTGGCTTTGACTTCCTTGGAAGATTTATGTGAGTCTGGTTTGCTTTTCTGAAGTGCAGACAAATGTCACAGAGTACTTTTCAGCTAAAGAAAACCCTGTCTAGCCACTCTTACCTGGCAAACCCAGTCAGCCTTCCAGCTGGAATAGAACTGCCCTTTTGTGGATGGCTGGACCACTGACAAAGCCCTTTTCCATCCTTATCTTGTTGGCTCCCTCCTCCCCCACTGCTCTTCAGGCCAGGATTAGTAGTATTACTCAGAGCACTCAAGGACAGCGATTGTTTATCTTTATCCCTGGGGTCTAAGAGAGTGGAGGCCTTTGTGACCACTTACTGAATTGCTGGGGGAGGAGGGAGTCACTGGCCACTCAGAAAGGTTGTGACCTGCTTAAGGTCACATGGTTAGTGTCAGGGTCGGAGTTCAACACTGTGTCTTATGACTCCAAAGCCTGTTCTCTAGGACTGCTTTCAGATATTCAAGCCTGTTTCCTGCAGCACTGTTTCTAACAGCCAAGTGTCCCTCTCTTGTGGGTAGAGGTCACTTGCACTGTAGTCTTGCCCCTCATGGTGTGATCCCGCCAGCAGCTCCTGTGGCACCAGGCGCCACCTTGGACCTGCTGAATCTGAAGCTGCAGTTTAACAAGGTCCCCGAGGCAATTCACATGCTCATTAAAGTTGCTAAGTCCCACATTACAGTACATCCATCTGGTGGACCACCTTGGTACTTCTTTTTTTTTTTAACAACACAAGAATGTGATGGATCCACACATAGGCTGATGTGAAAGGATCTCAGAATTTATTGTTATGTGGGGAAAAAGAAAAGCGAGTCACAGATTAATGTGACTTTGTATGATTCAATTTGTGTACACATTTTTTTTAAATGAAGGTAGCACTAATACATGTGAATATATGCACAGAACTGATCAGCCAGGCAGCCTGTTAGGGTGC